TGGTTATGATTAGATGGATGGCATGGAGGAAAGAAGTGGAATTTAGGGTTTTCAAGAAAGTTTTTAGGATTCCTGATACTGTCGATTTAGACATGATTAAAGCGAGATTTGACGACGATGATGCGACTCTTACGATCACAATGCCGAAAAGAGTAAAGGGAATTTCTGGATTTAAGATTGAGGAAGAAGAAGAAGAAGAAAGAGTTGAGTTTGGAGATGTGAGTGAAGCTGAGCATAAAGAGGAAACAGAGAAGAAGAGTTACCAGATTGATGAAAAGGACAAGATTATGGAACGTATAGATAAAGAAAAAGAATTGGCTGATTCAATTAAAAAGAGTGAGGACAGTAGCTTAAGAAAACCTCCAGACATTGAAGGACGAGATTCTCGTGAACAGACAAGACATGAGGAACAAGAAAATAACCAACAACTGGTTCAAGCAGTGAGTGAAAGTGATGATTTTGGATCCGGAGCATTTGAAGAGATTGAAGAACAAGAGCCTGATGTTCTAGACAGAACAAGTAAAGGTAGAGAAATGCAAAAGAAAATGACTAATGGTGATGATAGCTCGAGAAAGGTTCAAGGGACTGAAGAACCAGAGAGACACAATGAAGAAAGCAAGATTTCAGAAACAGGTGGTCATGAGAAGGAAGAAGTTGTAAAGATGGAGATAAGAAATAAGGAGGCCAAAGAAGAGGTTGATGGGAAAATGGGAGAAGGATTCAGACCAAACATTGCAGAAACTGAGACAAAATCTGAGGAGTTTGAATCTGATAAACTAGAAGCAGATGAGGTTGATAAGATACATAAACTGGTTGACAAGAACGAAGATGAAGGGGAAAAAGCTAAGGTGGGAAGACAAAGTGAAGACAAAAACTTAATTAAGCTTAAAGAGAATGAAGAACAACATTCTAAGGGACAAAAGCGACACAGCAAAGAAGAAAATATGAAAGAATTGGTTGAAGAGAAAACTCCAGAGGCAGAGACAAATATACTGAAACCAGGCCAGGAGATTGAAGTACCAGAGGTGGATACGTTAGGGAAAACAGGTGATGAAAGAAAGGAGAAGCAGAACATTGTAAAGAAGGAAACTAAAAGTGGAGAGGCCAAAGAAGAAACTGATGCAAAAATGGGCGAAGTATTCGCATCAAACAACACAGATACTGCGATGAAATCTGAGGATTTTGAATCTGATAAACTAGAATCAGATGAGGTAGACAATATACAAAAATTGGTTGAGAAGAAGGACAAGCAAGTAGAAAATGCTAAGGTTGGAGAACAAAGTGAAGATAGTGGCTCAAAGCTTCAGGAAATTGGAGAACAACAAATTCAGGGACAAAAGAGACATGGCAAACAAGAAAAGATCAAAGAATTGGTGGACGAGCAAATTCCAGAGGCAGAGACAAATATTGAGAATGATATCCTGAAACCAGTTCTGGAGAGAAGTGAGGGAAAACACAAGATCCAAAAAATGTTCCAAGAGGAAACAAAGAATCAGCCAGAAACGTACAACGAAAAACGTACAGAGACCGGGAAAAAGATTAATGAGGCTGGCACAAGAAAGGTTCAAGAGATTATTAGACAACAAGAGCGGGATGAACCAACAAGATCCGAGAAAGAAAGCAAGAGCCGAGAATCGGTAAAAAGCGAAACAAATGATGAAGAGAAAGAGGATAAAGAAATTGCAGGAACGGAAAGAAAGGAGCAAGAGTCAGATAGACCAAAAATACTCAGGGAACAGGAAGTAGCTGAGGGTAAGACCAACTTTTCAAAAAATGGTGAAGTCAAGGAGGAGGAAGAAATTGCAGAGAAGGAAAAAGAATTTGGTAATGATGATGATACTGCAAGAAAATTTCGAGATACTGATCAACGAGATTCAAATGCAACGAAGGGAAAAGAAGAAAAAGACATGATTCAAGAATTAGTACTGGAAGAAAAAGTATGTGATGGCGGCAAAGGAATCATTGCAGTGGCGGAGACAAAAGCTGAGAATGATAAGTCAAAAGAGGTTCAAGAGATTGAAGAAAAACAATTGCATAAAGAAGATACATGTGGAAAACAATTTCAGAAACTTAAAGGAGGAGAAGTAAGTGGTCTTGGAGAAGTTGACGATGTGGAAAATGAGAAGAAAACAACAGTGTTAGAGAAAAGAATCAGGGATAGCACAAGAGTAGCTCAAGATATTGAGAAAAGTGATTCGGATGCATCTGGAAAATACATTAAAGAAACCACGATCCAAGAACTCGGTGAAAACAGAGGAATTTATCGAAATGAAAATGAAGAAGAGAAGAAGAAGGACAAAACTGATAGGCCGGAAAAGATAACAGTTACAATAAAACAAGAATTGAACAGCCAGTTGGAGCAAGACAATGTTGAAGATGGAGAAAAGACTCAAGAACTGGTGAAAGAGAAAATAAAGGATTGCGAAGAAGAAGAGGGCAGTGAAGAATCAAAGATCAAAACGGAGGCAGAATTGGAAACTGAAAGAGAGAGCTCCAAAAAGGTTCAAGAGATTGAAAAACAGAAATATGAAGGACTGAAGAGATCTATGGTACAAGACAAGATGGAAGAATCAGAGGGAAAGGAGACAACTAGAGCAATGAAGGAGAATGATGAGGATCCGGAATTGACTAAACCTTATAAGAGACAAAAAGAAGACAAGATCCACGAATTAGTGGAAATGGGATCAAATGATTACAGAGAAAAAATCAAGAAACAAGATGAGAAGGATATCTTAGGAAACCAAGAGGATTTAGATGAATTTGAGACCCAAGGTGAGCAAAGCAATTTTCCTAAATTGGTGGAAGAAGAAAAACTGGAGAACATTTCTGAGCTAGAGGGAAAAATGGAAGATGACATTTCAAGAAAGTTTCATGAGTTTGAAGAACGAAAATCGTATGAATATTGGACACACGAGAAGCGAGAAAAGAGAAAAGTTTTAGTTAAAGAAGAAGCAACTA